GAGGATCCCACGGGATGCAGCGTCAAATGCATTTCTGAAGCCTGGGTGGGCACTGTCCCCTGCGCTCCTCTCGTGCACCGGCTCTGGCATTTCACCGCGGAAGGTGGTGGAGTGGTCAGGCACGACAGCGCCCTTCCTGTCCTTCTCGTGCTTAGAAGATTCCCAGGATCAGTTGTGCCACCACCTGCCCAGGGACAGAAGTGAGGCCGAGCCCTGCAGCCCCCTTACACACAGCTCCCACGTATCCCAGCATACGGATATGCCTGGAGATCCATTGGACCCTCATACCCGAGAAACCCTCTGTACCCCGCCCCCGACGCCCCTCCCCGGTGCTCGGAACGGCGGCACCCGCGGGCAGAACCCCCCGTCCCGCATCCCCGCGGGGGGGCGGGGCCACGGCGGGGGGCGGGGCCCGGCGGGGCCGGTGCCGGTGCCCGGTGCCCACCGTGCCGCCCGCGCCCGGGATGGAGCCCCCGACCGGCACCGAGAGCGCCCGCCTGGTCAGCCCCCGGGGCGGCCGCGCCGACGGCAGCCTGCGCCTCAAGAGGTACCGCCGGCACCGGCACCCATCGCCCCGGCACCCCATCACCCGCACCACCGTCATTCCATCACCGCTGCCTCTGGCACCGCCGGCATCGGCATTCCATCACCGGCACCCCCATCACTGGCACCCTCATTGCTCCGGCACGTCCAGCACCGCAGTCACCACTGGCACTTCCATCACCACCGGCACTTCCATCACCAGTGGCACTTCCATCACCACCGGCACCTCAGCGCCCCGACATCCCCATGATCGGCACCAGCACCTTCATCACCGGCACCCCCATCACCCCGGCACTGCCACCCCTGGCACCTCATCAGCTCCCAGGGCCCCCGGAATTCCTCGCACCGCCACCTCCATCATCCCCCCCCATTTGCAACCCTGGGTCCCCCCGCACCCGCACTGCCGGCACCGGCTCCCCCGTTATCCCCGGCATCTCCATCGCCCCCAGCTCCCTTGGCACTCGCAAGCCCACGGCTCCCCCCCTCCCGGCACCGGCACCCCCGGCACGTCCCTCCCCGCCCGCCCCCGCGTCTTCATCCATCCGAAACGGACATCGGCACCTCCGCAGCCCCCGCGCCGGCCCTGACCGTCCGCCACCGCCACCCTCACCCCGCCACCCGCGCCCTCCCTGCTCCCGGTGCCTCCTCTCAAGCGGAGCCATTCCCTCCCGTGCACCAGCCCCGCTCCCCCCTCGGATGTCCGTCCGGCAGCTACCGGCGCCCAAACGTCACCCACGCACACCGGTACCGTCCATCCATCACCCGCCCACATCGGTACCGTCCATCCGTCACCCACTCACACCGGTACCGTCCATCCATCACACCTCCCCCTCCCCGGCTCGCTGTCCGTCCCCGCTCCCGCACTGCTGCCCCACGCACTAGCGCCCCGGCCCCCGCCTCCCTTCCCACGCCTCACGTCTCCACACCGGTGCCCCGTCCCACAGCTCGGCCCCAGGCGCAACAACTCGGTCCCACCGGCACCTCCCCGCGGGTACCCGCACCGCCCCCGGCTCCGGTCCCGGCGGGAGCCCCGTGCCGCCGCCTCCTGCTGCCGCCGCCGGTCCCTTTGCTGCCCGTCCCGCCGGGGGGGCTCAGCCAGTGCCCCATCGGTTGCCTGGCTGCGGCCCCCAGGGTGGTAGTGGGACCCCCAGGGTTGCCAGGCAGGGGCACGGGAGACGGTGTGGCCAGCAGCGACCCCCGCCCCCAGTCTGTTCACAGGCTCCCAGGACCACCCGGCACTGCCGCCTCCCCCGGCTTCGGCTCTCCATTGCCGCTGCAGCCCCCCGGCCCCCAGCCCCGGGCGGGGCAGGCTCCCCAGCCGGCAGCTGAGAGTCGCCTGCGCCGTCTGCTGCCTCTTCATGGTCGGGGAGGTGATAGGTAAGGGGGGCCGGGGCGGGTCGGGTGGCTGCCGGCAGAGCGTGGGGTGCCAGCTGCTCTGTGCCCGCAGGCGGGTACCTGGCACACAGCCTGGCCATCATGACGGACGCGGCCCACCTGCTGACGGACGTGGGCAGCATGTCCGTCAGCCTCTTCTCCCTCTGGGTCTCCACCCGCCCACCCACCAAGACCATGACCTTCGGCTGGCACCGCTCAGGTGAGCCGAGAGGTACAGCCCCGCGGGGCTCCACGGGGGGCACGGCTCCATGGCACCCCCATGGCCGGGTGGTGGGCACTTAGGGCTCCTGTCCCACAGAGACGCTGGGTGCGCTGGCCTCTGTCCTCTCCATCTGGGTTGTGACTGCAGCCCTCGTCTACCTGGCGGCCGCCCGCATCATCAGCAATGACTACGAGATCGAGGCGCGAGCCATGCTGGCCACATCTGCCTGCGCTGTCGGCGTCAACCTGGTGTATGTCCCACATGGCCCCTGTGCACCTTCAGCCTGAGCCCTGCCCCACATGTGACCCCGGTACCCCAAGACCCCCAGCCATGCCCTCTGGTCCCCTTCTGTCCCTGTGCATCAGCCTTACGTCCTCAAGCACTGCCTCCTCCTCTTCCCTGTCACCCCCCTATGCTTGCAGCTTCCAGTCCACGTGCTTACATCCCCATGCCCCACATCCCCTGGCCCCCCAAGCAGCACCTTCTGAGCCCTGGCACAAGCCCCAGGCCTAAATCCCTGCCCAGTCGCATGCACCTCCCAGCAGTGCTGCAGCTTCCCTGTCATTGTGCTGCACCTCCAGCCCCACTCCCCTCCACCGTCCTGGAGGATGGTGCCTGCCTGTGCCCTCTTTGCCCGTGCAGGGCAAGGCAGGGGCAGTGGGGCCTCCATGCCCTGCCAATGCGGCACTAAGCCAGCCCTGCTCTCCCCAGCATGGCCTACATCCTGCACCAGTCCCCTGCCGGCCATGGCCACGGCACAGTGGGCTATGAGCAGCTGGAGAGCTCTGGGGGGTGCCAGCCTGGCCATGCCCCCCTGCCTGGCAGCACCAGTGTGCGGGCAGCCTTCGTCCACGTGGTGGGTGACCTGCTGCAGAGCGTCGGTGTCCTCGTGGCTGCCACCATCATCTACTTCAAGGTGCCCGGGCTGGACTCCACCTGCACTGCCTGCAGGAGCAACTCCCCCAGCCCTATGCAGGGTGCCCCGCTCCCAGGGGCCCAGCTCAGCTCTGCCCCCCAGCCTCACACAGACCCCGCTCTCTGCAGCCCCAGTGCAAGATCGCAGACCCCATCAGCACTCTCTTCTTCTCGGTCTTTGTCCTCGGTTCCACCTTTACCATCCTCAGGGATGTCTTCAGGGTCCTCATGGAAGGTGAGTGGTGAGTGAGGGGAGTGCAAGACCACGGATGCAGGGGGGCACAGAGGCTCCTGGGGCTGCAGCTGCTGCAATACTTTGCCCATGAGGCACCTCACCTCCTCTGCTTGCCCCGGTCCACCCCTCTGTCCTTCCCTTGCCCCCCAAATATCCCCAGCCCCTCCTCCCCATCCCAGGTACGTTTGCCCCATGGTGAGGCTGTCTCGGCCCGGAGCCACTGTGCCCAGCCTAGTCCCCCTGGGGAAGCCCCCAGCCCTGGCAGATCCCACCAGGAGCCCTGGTCCAGGTGGGGGCTGTGGCTGGGGGCCAAGGGTGGCCCCCCGTGACCAGGTGGTGCTGGCAGGGACACCACGGGGCGTCGAGTTCGATGCGGTGAAGGAGGTGCTGCTGGGGGCCAGCGGGGTGCGGGGTGCCCACGACCTGCGCCTGTGGGCGCTGACGCCGAGCCACCCTGCTGTGTCAGTGCACGTGGCTGTGGGTGAGTGACCCGCGCAGGGCACGGCCGGGGGGTCCCCCTGGCCATGCCTGGGCTAAGCCCCTGCCCTGCTGCCCCCAGAGGCCGGCGCCGACCCTGAGATGGTCCTCTGGGATGTCACTGCCCGGCTCCAGAGCAGGTTCGGCTTCGCATCGTGCACGGTGCAAGTGGAGCGACAACGGGAGGAGACGGCAGCCTGTCCCCACTGCCAGGACCCCCATGCCTGAGACCCCTGCCTGCTGCTGCACTGGGCCTGGCCCTGGCCCCCCCTGCCCTGAAGCAGCTCAGGGTGCTGTCCTCCCTGTACCCACCCCACTGCTGTATAGCCCCGGGGTGGGACAGTGCCCCTGGTGCACGATCCTGGGTGGGACGGACACGTGGCCTGGCCGCAGCAGCACAGGGGCTCCCTGGGATCCTCCACTCCCCGCTGTGCCACAGCCTCTGAGGAAGGGGGATCCTGCCCCACCACCCGCCCCCACGGAGCCCTGCCGTCCCAGCAGGAAGGGATGTCCCCTGTGGGGGACCCTAGATGCAGCCTTGGCCCCAGATGCTTGTGTTCCCACCACCTCCTTTGCTGCTGCCCAGGCTCGGGGAGGGCGGGCCAGAGGAGCTGCTGCAACCCCCAAGTGCAGGGGGCTGGGGCAGCCAGAGCCCAGAGCTCAGCCCCCCACTGGCTGCTGTGCCGGGGCCTGATCCGTCCCCCTCGCTGAGTTGTGTCTGTGCCGCCGGTGTCCATCTGTCTGTCTGTGCCAGCAGCAGTGTCAGCACTGCCAATAAATGTGTTGGAGAAGCAGCAGTGGTGCAGGAGCCAGAGGGGCACAGGGAAGGGGACAGTGGGGTCAGGGCTGGACCCCCACAGTCACGGCCATAGCCACAGCTGCCCTGGTGCAGGCACCTCCACAGTCGTACAAAATCAACCACGTTTACTGCACAGCTGAACACAGGCTCAATGTGAGCAATTCCAAAGCTCCCAGCCCCCTCCCTGCCCCTCGGAGCGCAGTGGGGCCGGAGGCGAGCGCAAGCACAGCCCCACGCCACTGGGGCCCATGGGCACTTCTGTGGGGTCAGACCCACAGCATGTACCCCAGTACATGCACTAGTTCCACCACCCCCACCCAGCTCAGGCCAAACAGCGCAGACAGATCCTTCCGGGTTCGGAAGACGTGTCTGGAGGATCCCAGGAGCAGCTGGGAGCAGCCACACCTCCCACAGCAGGGGCCCAGCGGGAAGGCAGCACCGAGAGGGGCCACAGTCCCTGGCCAGCACAGGCGGCCCCAGGCCCTGCCCGGGGTGAGCAGCACGAGGGACCAACCCCCCTACTCTGCCGGCACTGGGGAGCACTCGGGGGGGCCAGGGCTCCCAGACACATTCCTGTAGAGGGAAGCGAAGCGGGCCTGGCACTCCGGGAGCAGCCGGTGGCCCACATCAGAGGCCAGTCCTGCCAGGCAGTGCGCCCGCACGATGCCCGCCTGCCCACCCGACACCAGCCAGCCCTGCGAGTCCAGGTTGGGGCTGAAGCGCACCTGGGGGAAGAGAGGGGTTCGGGAGGCGTGGGGCTGAGGCACCGGGACCTGGGCCCCCACAGCAGCGCTGCTGCTGCAGGGCTGGGGCTGGGCCTGGCCCCCTCACCTTGTGCAGGGCCTCCAGCTGCAGGCGGTCGAGGCTCAGCTCTGCCTTCACCTCCTGCGTGTGCATCCTGCGCATGGGCTCCCGGCTCGCGAAGTTCTGGAAGCTGCGCTGGAAAGTGGCAGCACCACCTTGGGCTGTGGGCCGGGGCAGGAGCACTGCAGGGACCATGGTCCCAGCTCTGCTAGATGTGAGGGGCTGCCCCAATGCCCCAGCAGCGTCTCCTGGCCCTGGCACCCCCACAGCCCAGCCACAGCCCCACAGGCCCCACTCATGCGGCTGGACCACCAGCTGCATCCTGCCCTCTCCTACCAGGTCCGTGTCCTGGAATTGGATGTAGCTTCTGGCCACCATCTCACTGTAGCACCGGGTCCTGGGCAGTGCCTGCTCAGTGCTCTTGGGTCCGGCAGGGCTGCAGGGCAGCAGGTCGGCTTTGTACACTGGCTGTGGGTGAGAGGGGGCTCAGGGCAGGGCAGGGGTCCTGCTGCTCCTCTGCAGCCAGGGGCCACCAGGGATCAGCAGCGTGGAGGGCCCAGGACGCTCTTCCGATGCCCCCTCCCTGCCTGGCTCCGTGTGCTGGGACAGGCTCCCCCCCGACCCCGAAACACAACAGCCTCTTACAAATCTGCGGTACAAGGAACGCTTGACGTTTAGGGGGTTGATGGCCAGGTCAGGCAGCACTGCAGCCACCAGCTCGCCGGTGATGTCACCCGCAGCCACCGTGTTCAGCCAGTCTGAGCCAGAGATGCTCTGCAGGGACAGAGGGCTGGAGGGTGCGGGGTCCCCACCACCCCCAGCCAGGCAGCGTCACCCACCCCTACCTGCGAGCCCCGGGCCCCAGCTGGCGCTGACCCGGCCCCCAGGACATAACGGCCCCACACCAGCCCTTACCCACACAGTGCCCTTGCGAGGGGCCACGAAATAGGCCTTGAAACCCAGGTACCCGGCGTCGATGTAGTGGATCCCGCAGAGCCCATACCTGCGGTGGAAGGGACAGGTTAAGGACAGAGCTCTGTGCTGCCACTGGGACTGCACGAGCCAGGTACAGCCCAGCTTCCCCCAGACCCGGGTGGCAGGGGAGCCACCCTTGCTCTACCAGCATGTCACAGGGTAACGAGGCAGCTCAGGGCAGATCCTGGAGACTGAGAACTCACCAGGAACACAGACCCCTTCAGCAGGACCCCCGCTGCCCTGCCCAGGGGCTGGCTGTCCCCTGGTCCACCCTTCCTGTGTCCCAGGATGGCACGGGAGAGGGGATGTCACGCTGTGCCGCTGCGGTGTGACCCAGCACAAGCAGAGCCTGCCTTTGCCACGGCATAGCTGTACAGTCCCAGGAAGGGGGAGGCCAGAGGGGCCCCTTGGGGGTTGAACCAGGCCCCGGCAGTGGGGCTGGACCCTGGCACTCACGAGGCATAGCAGTTGTCCTGGGCCACAGTGATGCCATTGTAGGGCAGCAGCCAGGCCACCTCAGTGCTCAGGAACCGCTTGATGCTGTTGATGGGCTCGTAGAGTCGCCGCAGGTCCCAGAACTTGATCTTGCGGTCACTGCCTGCCGTGACCAGGAAGTTGCTGAGAACCAGGAGAAACGTAGCACTGAGAGCCCAGCACAGAGCCGGGGCCTGTCCTGGCCCAGGGTCCAGGTGGCCCCAGTCCCCCAGTGGCTCTACTGCCCTCACCATGGAAAGCCCAACTCTATCCCTCCAGTGTTGCAGAAGGCCAAGTGCCATTGGCACCATGGCCTCCCAAGCCCCTCTTGGCAAAGGAACCCCTCCTGAAGGAGGGAGCCCCTCTCCCGGCAGCACCTGTGCCCGCTCCTGCCCTCACTTGTCGGCCTTGCACCACTCGATGCTCCGGACTGCATGGTCGTGGGCCGGGAAGCACTGGAAAGGGTAGAGCTTGAGGGAGGCATCGGGCTGGTGCACACATTGCAGCAGGGACTTGGTGAGCAGGTTCCAGATGGCCACGGTGCCTGTGGAGAGACCCATTTCCCTGAGGTGCTGCTGATGGCACAGGTGCTGCAGTGTGGGACGGGCAGCGGCACAGGCAGGACTGTGGAGTATGGCAGCCAGGCTGGAGCTAGGGCTCCAAGCAGGACAGGATGGCAGCAGGACCTGGCAGCGGCATGGGCAGGGCTGTGGGAGCTGTGGAACACAGCAGCCAGGTGAGAGCTGGGGCCAGGGCTCAGAGCAGGACAGGATGGCAGCAGGACCTGGCAGGACAGCATAGAGCTGCAGATCACTGGAAGGCTGGCAAAAAATTCCATCCAGGCAAGTTGAACAGATGTGGATTAGGCCAGAGCCACATCCTGGAGCTGACAGGTATGTGAGGGTGCCGATGGCCAGCCCAGAGAAGCCTTCCCCCACCCCAGGGATAGGCAGAGGTTCCAGCACAGCACCCACCGCTGGCTGCTGCTCCCCCCATCCCTCACCCCTGGGCTCCCCCGTTCCCTGCCCCAGCCAAGGATGAGGGAGCTCCAGGGTCTCTGCCAGGGCAAGGGCTGCTCTCCGAGTGCTGCTGTAGGGTGCAGGAGAGACTCACCGTCGTAAAACCCTGCTGCCAAATGATGGTGGGGCTTGGAGGGCATCCAGGAGAGGCTGAAGCACTGCCCGCACTCGGATGCGTTCCCTGCCTGGATGGAGCCCACCTGGAGTGTGGCAATGCACTGCACCTGGGGGCCAAGGGACAGCCCTGGGTCACAGCCTGGCGCTGGTGCCATCCGTGCCCTGAGAGCCGGGATGTGCAGGGTGGGAGCACAGCTCTGCTCTGCCCCTCCAACGCTCCGCAGGTGCCCCGGCTCCTCCCCGCTCTCCCACCTGCACCGGCCAGGGGGCTTTGGCTGGGTGCTGGCCCTGACAGGGACCACCGTGGTGGGGGACACTGACCTTGCAGATAAGGTGCTTGTGGAGGGGCCCATCTAGAAGAGAGCAGAGTGGGGTCAGGGCAGGTACCAGCTTTCTGGGAGCTCCCTGCCTGGAGCCTGGATCGCAGCTCCCCACGGCCTTGGCCAGGCTCCTGGTTCCTGTCCTGCCACTGCCCCAGAGCAGTGTCCCCAGCACAGCAGGAATCAGAGCACATGGAGCACCAAACCCAAGAGCCAGCAGGGGCAGGACCCCAACCGGGCCTGCCAGTGCGGGAGGAAGCAGCCCACTGAAAGGCACTGCAGACAAAGGTGAGGCAGGGCTGACATGCCCCCACCCCACCATGACTGGCACCAAAGTCAAGGGCACGCGGTGATATGCAAGGGCCAGACGTGACTGGGGAGGGAAGGAGTGGCTATGCAGGACATCTGCTCCATGGGGTGATGGGGCTGAAGGGGGTAGCACTCCTGGGGAAGGAAGGCTGCAGAGACCCCGTGGCCAATGGCTTAGAGTCAGGTGCCCATGGGACCCCCACACACCAGCTCCATTTGCCAGAAAATCCCCCCCACCAGCAACACCTGACACGTGTGCTGTGGGGACTCTGTCCCACATCCCTCAGGCCTGTGGTCCCCCTGTGCCCAGCACAGGGCTGTCCTCTGGCACAGCAGGCAGCAGACAGGCACGTCCCAGCCCGGAGCATGGCAGCTGTGGGTGGAGGCATGGAGGAGCCATGCATCTTCCCCGGCACGGCTGTGACAGCCGGGACATGGTGCGGAGACCAGCCCCGGCTCTGCCAGGCAGGAACACCGGGTGCGGATTCCTGGTGCCCCAGGGACAGCCAGCACAGCCACGCCAGCCTGGGAGCTGCTAGCAGGGCTCAGCGCTGCAGCCTGGCACTGATCCTGCGGCTGGGAATCAGTGCTCCAGCCTGCCTGTGAGGCACAGAGATGGTACGTGCAGTCGCAGCCACCGACGTGCCGGGCCCCAGCTGGTGGCAGGAGCTGGGCCCCCCCCCGACTGCCATGCAGGCACTGTGGCAGCAGCCCAGCCAGCCGCAGCCCAGCCAGCCGCAGCCCAGCCAGCCGCAGCCCAGCCAGCTGCAGCCCAGCCAGCCGCAGCCCAGCCAGCCGCAGTCGGCGCAGGCACGGCCGACGTGCTGCGGGGGCCGGGAGCCGCACCGCGAGCCCATTTCCCACTGTCAGTGAGGACGTGCAGGCTGTCGGCCACGGCTGAGCGCCCACCGCCAGCACGCGCCGGCCATCAATCCCGCCCGGCGCCGGCACAGCCTATTACAGGCACCATTAGCTCTGAGCCGGCCCAGCGCTCCCGGTCCTACCCTGGCACTTGGCTCAGCCAGGCTGGAGGGAGCAGCTCCAGCAGCAGGACACGCTCCCAGTGGCCAGCAGGGATGTACAGAATGGCTGGGGAAACACTGTGTGGCTGCATCATCCTCTGCATCCCACTACAGCCACAGCGACACTGCCAAGAGCCCCCAGCTTTGGGGGCTGCTTGCGAGCTGTGTCCCAGCCAGCCTCCTGCAGTGTCCCCAAGACTGAATCAAAGCAGCACTGTGACACCCTCTGACACCAAAAAGCAGCCTTGGACCCCCACACTGTGCCCCGTGCCAGATGCCAGGCTGGGGGCAGCAGGGTCCCAATCCTGGGGGTAAGGTGGGCTCACTGCCTCCTCATGCAGCTCCCGGGCTGGGACATGGTTCTGCCGGCAGTTCCCCAGCACAGTGGGATACCGTGGGCAGGGGGGCTCCAGCCCCAGGGTTCGCAGCCCCACCCCAGCACAGTGGGAGGAGGGCCAGGATGCCCCCACCCGGCGGCGCAGCTCTTCCTACCTTTTACCTGTGTTGTCTTGGCGCAGCGCAGGGCCCCGGGGTGCGGCAGGGCGTACACCACCACCCTGCCGTCTGAGAAGGCGGCAGCCAGCAGGCCCAGCCGGCTCATCTGCGGGTGCTAGAGAAGGACAGACAGGCTCAGCCCTCAGGTCACCCCTCAGGGAACCCAAGGTGAGTGCTTTGGGCAGCACTCACCGTCCGGGCCGTGGCAGGCGGCTCCCAGGCCCCGCTGGGGCAGAACTTCATGTCCCAGACGCAGCCGTGGTCGGCAGCGATGGCATAGGCCAGCCTGGCTTTGTCAGGAGAGCTGTGGGCACAGGTCAGGCCATGAGGAACATGACAGCTGTTGCCCAGCAGCTCCAGTAGACACAACTGCACACTAGCAGCAGAGCTGGCCACCAGCACAGCCCCCATGGGGTTCAGGCCGTGGCTGGTGGTTCTGGGAGAGGATCAGCCTCACCACCCACTCAGCCAGAGAGACACGAGGCCTGGGCCCTGCCCCATCCCTGGGCAGCCCCTGGCCCCTTCCCCAGGCTCTGCCACTCACCCCTGCTCCAACTGCAGCGCACCCAGGCCCCAGAGCTGCAGGAGTGCGGGGCCCGTGTGCAGCCCGGCCACGCTGTGCGTCTCCTCCATGCTCCTGTGGCAGGACACGGCCACGTACTGCGGGGCTGCCGAGCCCTCGGGAGTCGGGCACCACTCCATTGCCCACACCGGGCCACCCACAAAGAAGGAGATGTCCAGGCGCTCTGGGTGGGGCTGCAGGGAGCTGAATCTGAAGGGGGGAGAGAGGTGAGGGCTGCTGGGACCCCAGGGCACAGCACGGGCCAGTTGTCCAGCCCATGGATGACCCTGGGGGCCACTGCCAGTCCTAGGCAGGTCAGCCACCACCCCACAGGGCCTGAGGACACCCTGTCACACACCTGTTTACCCTGTACAAGGCACCGTCGTCCTCAATGCCCTCACGCTGGATGGAGAAGAGGGGAGACTTCTCCTCTGCTGGCAGGTACGGGGCAGCCTCACTGTGCAGGCAGAATGTGAGACGTGTCCCTGCCCCTCACCCAGTCACCCCAGCACAGCCCCATGCCCTAGCACTGTCTCAGCCTCTGTGTGACTCCAGCAGCTATGGAGGCTCCATAGCCAAATCCAAGAGATCCTCCTTGCCCACCCCCTCACTCACTCTGCACACTGCTGGGACCTGCCCCACTTCCCCCCAGCCCCACTCCCTCTCCTCCTGCTTCAACGGTACCTGTCAGAGAGACACGTCCACCTGTGTGCCATTGGGATCCAGTCTGGGAACTCCCACTGCGAGTGCTTCTGCTCCCGCCTGCAGTGTGTGCCAGGCCTCAGCCACGGCCCCGTGCCTGGCACAGCCAGCACCCCCAGCCCTCACACCCTCCCCATGGCACAGCCAGCACCCCCTGCCCTCACACCCTCCCCATGGCACAGCCAGCAACCCCAGCCCTCACACCCTCCCCATGGCACAGCCAGCACCTTCTGCCCTCCCCCCTGGCACAGCCAGCACCCCCTGCCCCCCCCCCATGGCACAGCCAGCACCCCGTGCCCTACACCCTCCCCATGGCCAACAGCCAGAACCCTGCCCTCACACCCTTCCCATGGCACAGCCAGCACCCCCTGCCCTCCACCCTCCCCATGGAACAGCCCAGAACCCTGCCCTCCCCCCCCATGGCACAGCCACACCCCTAGCCCTCACACCCTCCACATGGCACAGCCAGCACCCCCTGCCCCCCCCCATGGCACAGACCACACCCCTGCCCTCACACCCCTCCCCTGGACAGCCAGCACCCCAGCCATCACAACCCTCCCCCTGGCACAGCCGCACCACATGCCCCCCCCCATGGCAAGCAGCACACCCAGCCCTACCACCCTCCCATGCACAGACCAGCACCCCCTGCCCCCCCCAATGGCACAGCCAGCACCCTAGCCCTCACACCCTCCATGCGCACAGAAAGCACCCCTGCACACCCCCCATGGCACAGCCCAGACCCCTGGCACTCAACCCTCCCCATGGCACAGCCAGCAACACGGCACTCAAACCTCCCCAATGGCACAGCCAAGCACCCATGCCACCCCCATGGAACACAGCCAGCAACAAGCACGCCACCACTTCACCACTCGGCCAGCCAAGCAAACCCCCTGCCCCCCCCCCATGGCACAGCCAGCACCCCCTGCCCTCACACCCTCCCCATGGCACAGCCAGCACCCCCTGCCCTCACACCCTCCCCATGGCACAGCCAGCACCCCTTGCCCTTGCCCACAGCCCCTGGCCCGGCCCTGCCCCATCCCAGTGGAACACCCAAAGGTTTCTCTGCCCTTGGGCCTGTGCCAGTGACGATACCAGGGCACCAATGATCACCCCATGGCCCCCTGAGCCCCCCAGCACCCCAAGCCCCTGCTCACAGGCTGCAGGTGAGGCTGGAGCTCTTTTCCACTGGGGCCATGATGGACTTGGGGAAGCCATTGGGAGCGAGGCCTCGGCATGGGGGCTTGGATCTCTGGGCACAAGAGTAGATTCAGAGCAGGCCCCAGATGTCCCCTGAGCCCTGGGGGACTCGCCTGTCCCAAAGAGCACCAGCCCAGCCCCTGAGAACAGTGCTCTCCCCAGCCACTGTCACAGTGTCACGCTGGGCTAAAGACACAGAGCCCCACTGCAGGGAATTCCAGGATACCAGGACCCCTCCAGGACTCGCCTCCACCTCTCACTGCTCCAGCAGGAGCCCAGGCTCTGCTCCCTCTCCCAAAGGACCTGTCCTTGTTCCCATCCCCATTGCCCGTGGCCCTGTGTCACCCGTGTCCTGCCCCAGGGCTGTCGTGCCCCTGTCACTGCTGTCACACCTAGAGCTGTTTGTGCTGGGACACAGCTGAGGGGCCCAGGCAGAGCCCCTGCCCCTGCCCTCACCCCTGTGGCCGCCGTCCTCCCGCCGTGCCCTCGGGGCGCCTCCAGCTCTGGCTCCGAGGCCTCGCTGAGCATCACATCACTGCCCTCCTCCTCCTCCTCCTCCGCCTGCAGCACTTCCTGCGAGGGCACGAAGTCGGCGTCTCGTGCGGGGTCGTCGCTGCCCGTGTCCTCCTCCTTTCTCCTCCGGCTCCGGTGCTTCCCCTGGACACACTCGGGCTCTGGCTCCGGGGCCTCCTCGGTGGGAGCAGGGGGCTGGCACACAGACATCAGCTCCTCCGCCAGCTCCTGCAGGTACAGCAGAGCCCTGGGAGCCCAGGGCAGTGCCCGGAGCTGAGCACGGGGCAGCACAGGGACAGCCCTGCCCCTCTGGCCCCTGGGCAGGGGGTTGATCTGCTCCAGCTGCACCACAGCCCACCAGCACAGGACCCCCAGCAAACTCCTCCTGCTTCCCCAGGAACCAAGGAATCTCCCCATGCCCCAGATCCAGAGCTCCTGGATGCAAACACATTCCTTAAAGTGGGAAATGATCGTTCTGTGGGGAATCGGTTCATGCCACCAAAGTCGGACAAAGCCCCACAGGGAAGACACTGAGACTTCTTGGGGTAGGCAGAGGCCATGGAATCATGGATTCAAGGGACAGTTTGGGTTGGAAAGGACCTTAAAGCTCATTGTATCCCACCCTCTGCCACGGGCAGGGACACCTTCCACTATCCCAGGTTGCTCCAAGCTCCGTCCAACCTGGCCTTGGACACTTTCAGGGATGGGGCAGCAACAGCTTCTCTGGGCAACCTGTGTCAGGGCCTCACCACCCTCACAGGGAAGAACTCCTTCCCAGAATCCCATCTAGTCCTGTCCTCTGGCAGTGGGAAGCTATCTCTTTGTCCTGTCCCTCCAGGTCCTTGTCCCAAGTCCCTCTTCAGCTCTCCTGGAGCCCCTTTAGGCTCTGGAAGGGGCTTTCAGGTCTCTCTGGAGCCTTCTCTTCCCCAGGTGAGCACCCCCAGCTCTCCCACAGGTGGCCCCCGACCCCCACTGCCGCCTCCACTTACACTTTGGCCGCCCTCCTCTTGGGCCGCCCGCCCCGGGGGGTGTCCAGGCCGGCACCCTCCTCGCTGCTCCCCAGCATCTTCTGCACCCGGATGGGCTCCCGGGGCGGGGACAGCTCCAGCAGCAGCACCTCGGCCTTGCCCTTCCCGCCGGGCTTCCCGGGAGTCCCCGGGGGCGGCACCGACCCGTTCGCAGAGCTCTCGCCGTGCCCCTCCGCCGCCCCATCGCGGTTGATTCGGGGCCGCACGTTTTTTTTCGGGGATTTGGCAGCTTCTCCACCATCACAGTCCGGATCTCCCGACGGCGACTCTTGCCCTGCCCAGAAACACCGGAATCAGCGCCAACCCCAGAAACACCGGAAACAGCGCCAACCCCCTGCAAGACTCCCCGGCACGTCTCGGTGTCCCGCAGCACCGGGCGCGGCGTTACCGCTTCGCACCCGGGGAGCCCCCCCTACCCGCCACCCCCGGTACATACGGAGCGCTCGCTGTTCACCCTCCCGGTCCCCACTACGGCTCCGGCTGCGCCCGGCGGACCCCGATGCCCGTCGCAGCCGCCCTCGACGGCTCCGCTCCCGGCAGCGCGGCCCGCGGGCGGCGCTTGACGCCATGGGGGGCTCCCGGAGCCGCCGCCCCGCTGTGGGGCCGCGCCGCCAGCAGCGATCCGGAAGCAGAACCGGCAATGGCGCGGGATGATGACGTACCGGAAAGTGTTTGGCGGGGCGGGGCCACGCGGATCCCCAGGGCAGTAGAAGGGGCGGTGCCTCATCGGAGGGGCGTGTCCATGCAAATCACACACAGCTCGCGGGGGACGCCGGGACACGTCCCGCACACAGACCCCGCGGCCACGCGCGTCCGCGGGCGCTGCTGCGCGGGCGGGGCCGTGCGGGACGGTGGGGAGCGCGGGGCCGCGCGGGGGCGGGGCCGGGTGGTCGGTGAGCGTGTGCTCGGGGTGGGTGCGCGGGGCGGGCGCGGTGGGGCCGGGGAAGTGGAGTCATACTTACCTGGCAGGGGAGACACCATGATCAGGCAGGTGGTTTTCCCAGGGCGAGGCTCATCCCTTGCACTCCGGGTGTGCTGACCCCTGCGATTTCCCCAAATGCGGGAAACTCGACTGCATAATTTGTGGTAGTGGGGGACTGCGTTCGCGCTCTCCCCTGATAAACGTGGTACAACGACAGATGAGTTCCTCGGAAGAGTAGTGCTGCTTTGTATTGGGAGCTCTCAAGGTTGGTCTACTTCTAGTCCCCCCGGTTACGATCCCACTCTCGGGATCCCGTGTCCCGGTACGGCCCAGCCCGGCTCCGGCTCCCCCGGCCGCGCTCAGCCGTTCCGCACGAACCCGCGGTCGGGCCCTGGGTCGCTGCGCCCCCATGCCGGTTCAGAGACAGATGTTATACCGCGGCAGGTAACGTGTCAGTCTGTCGGCGTTCCAAGGTAGTACTCGGTTCCTGAGTGGAACTGAAGGGGACTCGTGCGGCCGGACGGGTCGAGGGACAAGGGACCGGGTTCCCCTCGCTGCCTTCCCCCCCTCCAGAGGGTCCCACACCCCTTCGGGGTTCGCCCCTGACACTCGCGGTCCCAAGTCCTGCTGCTCCCTTGTCCCTCAACCCGTCCCGGTCCAGCACCGGGCTCTCCGCTGTCTGCCCACGGCCACACGAGTCCCCTTCAGTTCCACTCAGGAACCGAGTACTACCTTGGAACGCCGACAGATTTACAGGTCACCCGTCACCTGCCGCGATGTAACATCTGTCTCTGAACCGGCATGGGGGCGCAGCGACCCAGGGCCCGACCGCGGGTTCGTGCGGAACGGCTGAGCGCGGCCGGGGGAGCCGGAGCCGGGCTGGGCCGTACCGGGACACGGGATCCCGAGAGTGGGATCGTAACCGGGGGGACTAGAAGTAGACCAACCTTGAGAGCTCCCAATACAAAGCAGCACTACTCTTCCGAGGAACTCATCTGTCGTTGTACCACGTTTATCAGGGGAGAGCGCGAACGCAGTCCCCCACTACCACAAATTATGCAGTCGAGTTTCCCGCATTTGGGGAAATCGCAGGGGTCAGCACACCCGGAGTGCAAGGGATGAGCCTCGCCCTGGGAAAACCACCTGCCTGATCATGGTGTCTCCCCTGCCAGGTAAGTATGACCACCCTCCCCGGCCCCACCGCGCCCGCCCCCGCGCACCCACCCCGACCACACGCTCACCGACCACCCGGCCCCGCCCCCGCGCGGCCCCGCGCTCCCCACCGTCCCGCACGGCCCCGCCCGCGCAGCAGCGCCCGCGGACGCGCGTGGCCGCGGGGTCTGTGTGCGGGACGTGTCCCGGCGTCCCCCGCGAGCTGTGTGTGATTTGCATGGACACGCCCCTCCGATGAGGCCCCACCCCCGCCTTGGAGCCGCTCCGCCGTTTGCGACGCGATTTGCATGGCCACGCCCCTTCCGTCAGGCCCCGCCCCCAAGGTGCCGCGCCAGCCCCGCTGCCCGCGGTACCCGATCGGTGCCCGGTGCCGGGGCAGCACCGGCCGCGGTTCCCCAAGGCCTCACTGCTCCGGGCACCGTCCGCCACCGTGCCGGACCCCGCGGGAAGGCCCCAGTCCAGGGCTGGCGCCAGAGGCCACGGCAGGAGGGGCCCGAGCTCTTCCACTGCAGCCCAGCTCGAGGGGGCTGCCAGAAGCTCAGCTGGAGGAGGTTGAGCCAAGGGCCATCACCACAGTGTCCCTTTTTCCCCAATTCCCAGAGGAGTGGCTCAGGGACACAGAAGACCCTTCCCCGCTGCAGCCTGGAGCAGGAAGAGAGGGGCTTGGGCCAGCACGCCCAAAGGAAGGTGCAGAGCTACCCCAGTGGTGACACAGGTGCCAGGGCTCTGCCCCACCACAACAGACAGCACACATAGGGTACTGTGGGCCTAGTTTATTAGTGTCCATGCAGCTGTCCTGACTATTGATCCACGTTCTTGACACGCAGGACCACAGGCACCGAGGTGCAGGGGATCATGCCCAAGTCCGTGATGACCAGATCCACCAGGTCTGGGGGTGTCACATCATAGACCAGGTTGAGGAGACGCAGGGACTTGTTCTCGGCCCAGCCCCCCAGCTGGGCCTGGCCCTTCCGGAGCACAATCAGGTCATCGGGGTCATCTGTGGAGAGAGAAGCAGCCGGCAGGATCAGGGGGAAGGATAGCACCTCTCCATCCTGCCCTGGGAGCACACACTGCTGCTGCCTGCCAGGCCCCCCTGACTACGAGTGGTGTCCCCTCGCCCAGAAAGCGGAATGGCAGGGCAGAGCAGCCTGCTGTGGTCCACAGCAGGGAGTGGGATGACATCCTAGGTGGGAGGAAGGGGACAGAAGCCATACCCAGCTCATTGGAGACAAAAGAGTCTGTCTGCACTCGCTCACAGAACTTGTAGGTCTCACAGCAGACCAGGACGGGCACGTTGTAGGCCTTGGAGACCAGCGCGATCTGCGATGTCCCCACCCGGGACATGACAGAGCCGTTGGCCAGGAGCGCGTGGGCTCCCAGCAGCACTTTGGACACCTGCCGGGGCAGCACAGGGATCTGTCAGCACCTTTGATCGTGCTGCAGCCTGCCCCGCGCCCGGCCCCGGCCCAGCCCCTCACCTCGGGCAGCACGTAGGAGATGGCGTTGATCATCACGTAGGTGCAGTGGATGCCCTTGCGCACCAGCCGGCGCAGCGTCTCCCGGCCCTCCAGGCGCGGCCGGCTGTCCACCACGACCACGCGGAACGCGCGGCCCTTCTTCGCGTGGGCGTCGCACAGCGTGCGGTTCACCAGGGAGGAGCTGACGGGCACCGTCAGGACCTGCCCCCTCACGCCAGGCCAGGCTCTCACCCAGCCACAACGTCCACCCTCGCCCTCACGAGTGCTGCCCCTTCCAGAACCTTCCTGCCACGACGGCTCCCAGGGCCCCTCTCCCTGTCTCTGCACAGGGAACCACCCCTGGGAAAGCGGACATCTCAGTCCTCCCTGAAGCAGCACTGACCTCCCCATCTGTAACCATCATGACGTTCTCTACCTCTCCAAACTCTCTCCCAGTTTCCCTCTCCCAATGCTCCAGGCCCGCACTGGCCTCCTGCCCCTGCTCTTTCCTCCATCCAGGACACACATCACACCTGGACTCTTGCTGCAGCAGTCTCTGGCTCCTTTTCCCACCTCTACTTCCTGGGACATAGGCCTCCCAAGGAAGAATAAGCTCATATATTTTTGCTTTCTGACATTTGACTTTGCTGCAGCTTGTTTAAAATCCAGTGAACAGCCACGACTGCTCTGCAAGTGCCCCGGGTGGAGGGAAGCTGTGACTCTGGGGTTCTTGGAACCCAACTCTGGACACACCAGATGAGACAGAGCCAAGCCCTGCATAGGACTAGCACAGCCTCACTTCCCGTGCTCACTTCCGTGCTGTTCCATTTCCTCCTCCCACCCACTGGCCTGGTTGCTCGTGCTCTGTGCTCACCATCCATACACCAGGATCACGTCATGGTCATTGATCTTCTCAAAGGCAGACCTTGAGATGGCTTCAGCTGCCAGGACAATCTTCTCCCGCAGGTATTTGTCAATTGTGTCCTGCAGCTTCTCCTTTGCCTGGGGAGACACAGACATCCCATACAGACCTTCTCACTCTCTGCAGCTCCCTGTTGGAGCCAGATGGGGGTTGGTCTCTTCTCCAAAGTAACATGCTTCCAACTCCACTGAAGCACCATTCCCAGTCTGCATCCCACCCTTGCTCCCAGTCTGCATGCCACCCCACTCCCCATTCAGCCTCTCCACCCCGGGCCTAGAGCCTGCTGCTCAGCAGGGCCACTCACCTCCTCCTCTCGCAGGGTGTCAGGCAGGCACGAGATCTCCTTCTTGAGGAACTTGATGGCGTTGCCCATGCTGGCCGAGAGCGGCCGGCACTGGTTCAGGAAACTGCAGAGGAAACTGGTTTAGTTACAGAGCAGCCTGGAGGGCCAGGACAGGGACAGGAAGGGTGGGCAGGGAGGTAGAACTGCAAGGAAGTCACCTGAAGTTTGAGTGGACACCTTTCCAGAGAGGTGATTGATGGACCACGCTCCGTGGAGCTTTGGCACCTGGAGCCCTCACCTGATATGTGGCTTCAGCTTCGCCACCAAGTCCCGAGACAGCTCCTCGTTGGGGGGAGTGGAGTAATCCCGGATCAGCTGGCACAAGAAGGAAGGGAGCATGAGCTCAGGGCACCTCAGGGTAGGGCAAGCGACCACCCTGCCCAAGGGGCTGCAGCCCAAGCACGTGTGTGTCCTGCATAGCCTGACACTCTGCCACTGTGGGGCAAAGGGTGTCCTAGCAACTCAAATCTGCAGTGCCAGTGCCAGAACAGAACCTCAGCAGGGCCCACAACCCAGAGGAAGAGGCTGCTGATGACTGAGTATAAATACAGCCTCAGCAGTCAGGGAACAGGAACACACACCTGTGCCTGCCGCAACGCCCCTGCCGCCAGGTATCTGCTCACATACCTGTTTGAAGACTTCCAGCAGCGCGATGCAACGGGCATTGGAGCCGTTGATGATGCCCTGGGAGTACTGGAGGCCAAGGCGCATCACTGCTGGGTGGATCACCGTGGAGGGGATGCTGCAGGGACCAGTGGGAGGGAGCTGTCTGCACCTCTGCAGCCCAAAACAACCAACCCATTGCTGGCCCCCAGCCCAACCACCCGAGGGACAGCCCAGGAAGAGAGCTGGCAGTGACCTGAGGAGCCAGGTTCACCCCGCAGCCCCTTCTCCTGTGGCCGAA